CACATCCACTGCCTGAGCAGCCAGAAACATTTTTTGTGTGTTAAGTTAATGTGTACAACGGTTTTTCTGTCAAAGAAAAAAAGCAGTTAAAAATCTTCGGGTGGCAAAAATTTAAATAGATTCTAATGATTTATGCTCTGACTGAAAAAAAAAGTGTTCTGCTTCTTCATTATGCCTAAAGGAAAATATGAATTTTTCATTTTTTAGTGATTTATAGACCGAACCCCTGACTGTGCCCTCACAGGGCATGTACAAAGGGAAGACTGAAATCATTAATTATATAAAGGACGCCCACATCTGGCTGCTCCTCCCAGGTGAATGAAGCCAAAGCCTGATTTAACAGATGGACACTGCACCGTTTCCTGATGGTAAAATCACCAGATGTTTAGAGATTCCAGAAGTACAAAGGCAGAAGGAAGTGCGTTAATGATGAGGTTTCTGGCACACCTTTGAATTTTCTTACTTTTAACACTGCATTTTCTTGTACATTGGGTATCTGTGCATGAGTCATGCCATTATTTGAATTTTAATTAAAATAGAATTTCACTTTAAAATATTTCACTCTAAAAACAAGAAACAAGGAAAATGTGCTTATATACCTTCACCAGGCTATACCAAATATTGTTCAAAGCTTGAAAAAAATTCAGTTGCTTTATTTCGCATTGATTTTCTTTTCAAAATCCCTTGAAGGGGTCTGGCCCAAATATAGTAGCCCAGGTGCGTGGTGATGACTGGTCCAGAACCCCCAGGCTCTGTCTGCCTGGGTGCAGGGGATCCTAGCAGGCTTGCTCCAACACTTTACTAGGCTGTGTCCACTATTTTTAACCCTCTGACCCCAACAGGAAGTTGGGCCTGGCCTCAATCAAGAAGGGGAAAGTGTGGAGGTCATCATGCCGGGGAACTGGTGTGAGAACTTTGGCACCAGTAGAGTGGTAAGAGGGAGATTATTTCACGGTAGGAGGGAGATTATTTCACGGTAGGTAAGAGCATAAGAGCAATAACGTGCAAAAAGTAAGACCTGGGTTCGAATCCTGACTCCAACACTGACTACCCATGTGGCCTTATCCTGGGACCAGTTATTTAACCTCTCTATGTCTTGGTTCTCAGTTTTCTCCTCTGTATGGTGGAGATCATGATTCATACCTCATAGGATTGCATTGACAATTAAATGAGATAAGGTGTGGAAATGCACTTTGCACGCTACCTGATAGAAAGTCCTTAAATAAGGAGAAATCAGAGAGAGAGAAAAAATATATGCATCATGAATTTTCATAAACACTGCCTCAGGTGACACATCCTTCCTTCCTTTTGCCTCAGGATATTTCCATTTTGACGCCGGGGACTGACTAGCTTCGGTGTGTTTGTTCCAAAACCGTCTTGATCACTCTAGTAATCAAAGTTCAAGGCCCTGGACCTTCCCCAGACGGAGCTTCTTATTTCAGAACTGAGAGCAGGCTAAGGGGCCCACCCAGCACAGCTATCGTGTGTGACATGGTTCCTCATTCAGATGTTTAAAGGTTGGCCTTCTAAGTCCATCTAAATACAGAAACAAGCTACAAAACAAAACAAGTAGCTTTCTCCAAGAATCTTTTATGCGTACTTTCAATGGGGAGAAGCTGCCCTAGGATTAAGTACTGTGCCATCCACTGACGGAAGATAGAGACGCACCCTGAAAGAATAAGGCCCAACTTCCCTTTTTCTACTCTCTCTCAAACTACCTGCTGGGTGACTGTTCAATTAGTGGGCAAACAGTGATTCCCAGAAATTACGGAGGTTTTAGTGTTCACAAGGATGTAGTTCCTAATGTTTTTTCCCAGCAGTATATACAACCATTTCCTACTTTTAAATAGTAGGCCAATCTGAATATTAACTATCTGCCAATTTCAACACACCTCTCCTATAAACATTTCCTTCCTGGGTAGGGAGGAAGCCCAAATGATGTGGTCCTGTGTAGTTCTTTAACTTTCTTTTTTATGATTGGTGCAGAGCATCTGATTATTTCCAGGTGTTTCAGATTTTCTCATGGCCTCCTTGTTATTTCTCCCCTCTTTGAGCTCCTTTGGCAATGAATGTGACCATGAGGTCCAAAGCTATAAAGGATGTGTTCACCACTTCCCTCTTATGTCTGTCTCTTTATTTAACCACAAGTTCACTGTCTTTATCCACGTTAATTCCCTGAGGTATTCACACAGCATTTGTGTTGACTGCCTTAATTTTGATCTTCTCTAATCATTCCCTGCCAGATGGTAGTTAAAGTTTAATGGCCCCCGTAAAAATAGTTCCCTTTCTTCTTTCATCAGTCATGTGTGTTTACTTAGCTAACTGCTGGATGTTCAGAATGAACACAAAGTGACCACCAACAAAATGAATTCAACAAACGCACTGGCTTAATACTTTTCATGGTACCTAAAGATGTTGCCTGCCATTATCCACTCAGCCATTATCCTTATGTTTTATCGTCTTTCCTTTTCTGTTTTGTTGGTTTTCTTCCCTTTTTATCTCCCTTCTCAGGTTGTTTGATGGAAAGCCACAAGACTGTGAGGCCTGGCAGTCATCAGTATGCTACAATTAAAGTGTGTGGACATGTCCAGCTCCAATAGCAGTGAGTGCTAGATAGATGACATTTGGCATCCATAGTGCTTTCCTTGCCATATCCACAAGATGTGGGTAAGCATCATTCTTTATGATTCAGATAAAGAAGCTGAGATAACTCACAGAAGACCACACAAGAGGCTGGGATAGAAACTTGGCATTCTTAAGGAACAAAATAAAGAGGCAGACAGATATAACAAATTCATCTCTAAATAAATAATATGCCCTTTTTGTCTTCAGTGCATCCTACTATCATTCCTGAGCTAGCTAGTTCAGAAATAGCAACTAAATAAGGATTATATTATATGCCATTTTATAGATGAGGTAACTGAGATGAGTCATATTACATGACTCTTGCCAGGCCATGCACACATCTCTGGAAGTATCCTGTCACTTAGATTTACATTCGATTTATTAAAATATGTAGGAGCTATTTAAAAAATAAATAAAACTAACCAAACAAAAGATTAGCAGCATTTTCAGAGCAAGCATTCTGGGTAACTTTATATACACACACCGTTTAAAGCCTATAAAACACAGGACTCTAGGGCAGGAGTCTGCAAACTGCAGCCTGAAGGCCAAATTCTGCACGCTGCCTGTTTTTGTAAATAATGTTTTATTGAAACATAGTCATGCTCATTCTTTTGCATATTTTTTATGGCTGCTTTCACACTACAATGGCATTGTTAAGTAGTTTTAACAGAGACTGTATGACCTGCAAAGCCTAAAATATTTACCATCTGGCCTTTTACAGAAAAAGTTTGCCAACCCCTGCTCTAGGCCTTTGAATTATGGCATTGCATGTTATTTCTACTTAAATAATTAGTTTCTTCTTATGATTCAGGAATGCTGTTTGGTATTGTTGCTGAACATTGCTTAAAATGACGTTGATTTTAAATAGCATTTCAAATGCGAAAGGATTCTAAAATCATCTACCAAAATGTGTATCTCATTTGTACTTGAAGAGTTAAGAAAGTACGAATGTTCAACAACTTCTTGGCAATTTGGGAAGCAGCTGATGGCCACTATACATTCTATAGCTGGTAGTAATCTAGAACGTGGGCAAAAGATATCCCAACCAGCTATTAATCAAGGAGGAAAATGTGTTAATATTTGGTCAGATTTTTAATTTGGGGCAAGAACCATAATCTATCTGGGTTTTTGTTTATTTATCTAAGAATCGATGCTGTGTATGCATCCTTTTAGCACTAGTATTCTATTGTCCATATTCTACGCAAAGAGTAAGTGACCCCCTACTCTGCCACTCCCTCCAAAAAAAAGTCTCTAGGCTCTCATGGGAATACAGTTAGTCCCAGTTTTTAAACAGCCCCTGCAGGAAGATTTGAATTCTAGGCGACTTTGACCTGAACCTCAGGGGTGTGGAGGAGAGATGATACTCTGAAATGAAGAGCGTTAATTACTCTTGTGCCCAATATCTTAGCTATGACTATAAAATGGGAGACTTGTGACCTTGTGGACATGAGGAAGTCTATCTGTACACAGGATAAATAAGGCAGCAACTTCCCACAGAGATTTTGAAGAGGGAATTCAGAAATTTAACTGATGATTTGAAAAATTCTTTTTCTATTAAAACGAATAAAGCCATGTTGTGGAATAGCATGCAAAAATCAGCATGAATTTTAAATATAAAATACATTCCTTTGAAGAAATTTTGTTCTTGAGGAAGGAGCTTTAGATTTTATACCCAGAACCCTTCTCTCACCTGTCGCCTCACACAAAGAGCTGTTCACTGTTTTTGTCACTGAGGAACTTCAGGGGGAAAGTCAAAGACATGTTGCCTTATAGAAAGTGAATTCTCATCTCCCAATGTGAAGAATACCACTTGCACCTCGGAATCAGCGCACCAGAATTCATATTCAGACTTATTACTGTGCCTCAAAACTAACTAGCTCTGAGAAGTTTACTCCAACACTTTGTGTGGAAGAGAACATTCAGAGTGGCCCAGATTTATAAATTCCCACGAGTGTGTGTATCTTGTCCTGATGTTTCAATAAATTACTGTGGGTAGAATTCAAGCATCATACATCAACCATTTTCTCTCCAAGTTCCCTTCCAAGCTAGGGAGGCAATGGGAGGAGGTGAGGAATGGAGTGAGAATAAACCAGAAGGTTCTGCCACTAACTCATGGTGTGAATTTAGTCAAGTACAACAACTTCGGGCTGTGGTTTCTTTATCTGTGAATGAGAGGTCGAAACTAGAGGCAGGCTCACAGGTGCCAAATGTGAAATTCTTAGTAAATTATAACTGCTATGAAAATGTAATTTGTATTATCTTCTACTCACTATCCTATATCTAGCAGTTATAAAAACTTGTCATACTTTCTATATGTATTTCCTAAATAGGAGTGAAAATTAATATTATTTTATGCTTACCCCTAATCCCTTATTTTAGTAAAGAGTAACTAATTAAGAGTAACTTACCCCTAATCCCTTATTTTAATAAACACCATGAACAATGCAGGTATCAGAAAAATACTTGGGACAGAGTAAGTGAAAAAAATGAAAGCTGATTACATATCTGAAGGAGCTGCCATAATGAGACTCGACAATAGTAAGACTCGAGAAACAAGGAAACTTATTTCTCTCTCAGGTAAATGTCATGGGTAGGTGGACAGCTCTGTTCCACACAGCCATTCAGAGACTGAGGCTGACAGCACTCCCTCTTCCACATGTGGCTTCCAAGGCCATCTTGGTTGTTGCTCTTCAAGCCATCTGGAGGGTGGAAGCCTGGAAGTTTGGGGCAAGAAATTTGTTAGAGGCAATTTGCTCACCTCACTTCCACCCACCTTCCATCGGCAAGAGTTGAGCCACACGTGCACACCTACCTGCAAGGGAGCCTGGGAAATGGGCATTCTCATCCTAGGCACATCTCCATTACTATGGAAGAAGAGGAGAATGGATTTGGGAGAACAGATAATCTTTATGATCACTGGAATAAAAGGAGACTGAAGAGGCAGGCTAGTCTGTTACTCAATGCATTAAAGGTATACATGTATATATAAATTTCTTAATATTTTAATATTTCATAGTTGATTAGAAACATTCAGATATTAATAAAAATTCTAATAATACAACTAATTAATGATGCTTGCCCAAGCTTTAACAAATCTTAGAATGTATACAGTTAAAGACCTCCAATTCTCTCTCTTCCCTTATCAGAGGGAACATGCTCCTGAATTTAGTGTGAAACCTTCCCTTTTGTGTTTTTTAAATTTTTCTCACATTTTTAAATCAATAAAAAATATAAAGAATAATTCTGTATTTCTTAAACTTTACATAAAGTGGTACTACATTGTATCTATCATAATATAGCTTGCATTTTCCCTCCAAATTGAGGTCTATAGGTTTATCCATGTTGATAATAGAAACTCAATTTCCTAGTTTTGACTGCTTTATGGTATTTGTGTAACTATGGATTGTTTCCGATTTTTTATTGTTGCAAATATTGCTGCACTGAGTATCTTTGTGCACATGGGCAGCATTTTGCTAGAGTTGTGTTGTTCAATAAAGTAGCCAGTAGCCACATGTGGCAACTTAAATTTAAATTAATTTTAAAATCAATTAAATTAATTAAAAGTAATAAATCAAATAAAATTAAAATTTTAATTGCTCAGTCACACTAGCCATAACACATTTCAAGTGTTCAGTAGCCACATGTGACTAGTGGCTAGTATATTGGAGGACACAGTCCTCCTACTAGACAACGCAGTCGTGGCATTGCTGAGTTGTAGGGTATGCATGGCCTCAATTTCAATAGATATTGCCAAATTGCTCTCCATGTCAGTCAAGATTCTTAGTTATGAGCAGCAGAAAGCCATTATGGATCACTTAAACAAGAAAAATAATTTTTTAAAGGATGTTGGATAGCTTACAGAATCTCAGGAAGGGCTTGAGAACCAACCTGAAGATAAACTACTTAATATCATACCATGGAACTGATCTAACGAGGACAATGCTGCTCTGCTTAAAGGCAGCTACTGCCCCTTTATTTACAAAATGATGCATGCTCAATATTCGTGCTCTTTCTAGGACTATAGTCGTTGCCTCAAGAAATTGTACGTAGGTGCCATCGCCACTATCACCTTTACTAAAAAAAAAAGTAGGACTTTTTAATGCCATCTTCAGATTCAAAGTTTGGAGCCAATGTATCTGTTTGGCAGACTGGGTCTAACACCTGCATCTCATCTTTATGGAAGGCTAGGAAGACAAGTGTCTTATAACTTTTCATTTCTGGGAGATATGCAGACTTACCAGCTCTGATCCAGTCTCCACAGTGGATATAAAAATTTTAACGGTTCCCATTTCTCCACATAGTTTCCAACATGTCGTGTCATCTAGCATCTTAATGTTTGCCAAACTAATGGTTGTGCAAAGATATCTCAATGTGGTTTTAATTTGCATTCTCTTGATTAACGGTAAAGCTGAGCATCCCTTAATATGTTTCATAGTCATTAGAGCTTGTTCTATAAACTGCCTATTCCTATCCTTTGCCCAATTTTTAAGTTGGATTTTTGGCCTTTTTCTTATTGATATTAAGGGCTTCTTTTTATATATTCCATTTTTTTAAAGTTCTAGGCATTAAATATATCTCTTCCCAGGTCGTGGATTATCTTTTCAATTTTAAAAAAGTATCTTATTAGGAAATCTTCAAGCATACACAAAATAGAATAATATAGTGAATCTCAGTGTAGCCATCACTCAGCTCGTTGATCTTGTTTCATCTACATAACCAACCTGCACTCCCCAACACTAGATTATTTAGAAGACAATTCCCAGATATTATATCACTTTCTGCACAGATATTTCAGTGTGAATCTCTGAGGAAAAGAACTCTTTGTAAAACCAGAACCATAATGCCATCATCAACCTAATAATATGTAAAAAACAATGCCTTAGTATTGTCAAATTATCCAGTCAGTGTTCAAATTTCCCCAAGTGCTTTACAAATGTTTTTAGTTTGTTTGTTTGAGTCAATATCCAAATAATCAATTACAATCAATATCTGATAATCAACATTCAATAAGCATTACAATTGGTTGATATATCTTTTAAGTAGATTTTAATCTGTAGGTTACCCCTCCATCTCTCTCTCTTTTTTATTTTTTGGAAATGTTTTTGTTATTGTTGAAGGAGTCAGGTTTTTATCTTGCAGAGTTCCTAAAACATGGGGACCAAGGGGAACCCCTATAGTGAAGGCAGCAGCAGCAACAGCACCTACGTACAATTTCTGGAGGCAGTAATGTCTATAGGCCTAGAAATAGCAGCAGCATCAAATTTTGGTAGTTATATTGAGACACTTGAATAGACTCAACTGCAATATTTTTGGCAAGATTACTTCACTGATGATGTAGTGTAATTCCATCCAGAGGTACATAATGTCTAGCTGTCTCTCCTTTTGCAATGATCATTGTCTAGTTTCATTAATTCAATAGGAGTTGCAAAATGGTGATATTCTAATGATACCAGTCCACCTTTATTTATTAGCTGGAATACTTCTATTAAAAAATAAGAAACAGAACAAACAAACACAAAAACTTCCCCTTATGAACTATGGATACCTTCAGGTACAGTTCATTTAGAAAAAGCAAGATAAATGCTAATTTCTCTTTAACAGTTTACAATATCATAAATTAGTTCCCTAGACTCCTACAGAGGGGAACAGGTTGTGGACTCCAACTACTGTTTTCCACTAAATAAACTAAGGATCCGTGGAGAAATGGCTATCTCTTGATCTGGAACAGGAAATACATAGAATGAATCTATACATCATAACTGAAAGCGAGGAAGCTGCAAAGTCTGCTAGAGTCGCATCAGCAGTGCTCAGGAGCCAACTCAAAGAGCTTTCCACAGACCAAAATAGGGTTACTTGAGCATTCAGAAGAATAGCAATTAAAGGATTGAAACACAACTGATATGTTAAAAATCACAAGTTCCTAATGATGCCAAACAAAAAACTCTTTTTATATTCCTAATGGTGTTCATTTTTGACCAGATGTTTTTTAACCAAATGTAGCTGGATTCATTCATATTTTCCTTTAAGAGTGTGCTTTATTACATCTTGTTTCCGAAATCCTTCCTTACTCCAAAGTCATAAAGATATTTTCCTAAAATTTTTTTAAAATTTGGCTTTTACATTTAATTTTAATCCAAACTATTTTTGTGTATGGTGTGAGGTATGTCTGGGCGTTTAATTGGAGTCCCAGCAGAAAAGATTAAAGAGAAGCAGAGAAGAAATCTTTGGAGAAACAGTGGCTGCAATTTTTCTGGAATTGAAGCATAAATAAAAAATATTTATGCTTGGGCTTATGTAAAAACGCAAAACAGCAAAGACAAAGATCTTAAAATCAATCCAAGAGTAAAAAGAAATAATTTACAAAAGAATGACCATTAAACCATTGGTTGATTTCTCAATATCTGTAATGAAAGTCAGGAGCAGTATTTCTCTCAAATAAAGTGAGAGAAAACAAATCTCAATCTGGAATTGTGTATCCTACAAAATTATCTTTCAAGAATGAGACTGAAATAATGACAATTTTATTTAAGTACAAACTAGGAGAGTTTACTACCTTCAGACCTGCCCTAAAAGAACTTCCAAAAGAGATACTTCAGGAACAATGAAAATGACTCTAGAATTATGATCTGAGATATGAGAAGGAATAGTAAGGAAATAAAATGGTAATGATGTACACAATCACTATCTGTATGAATAATAACAAGAAGAATATCTAGTTTGTGAGGATGGAAAAAGAAAAAGACAAAACTAAGGCAGCCCTTTCCCCCCACTATCTGGAAGTAGAGTGTTCTTGTGAAATCCTCTGTAAGCCGAAATGGCATAAAGTAAGGAAGCAATTACCGTTAATTTATATGGAAAAAATTGTTGAGAGTTCTCAGGCCCAAAAAATAACCTACCAAATCATGTCAGATAACACATAAAACCTAAAATAAGGCTAACATATAGTAAAAGCAGGAATGATATGATAAATACTCAGCCTATATAAAGTAGAAATAATGTGTGCACAGTGTAGTTTCACTTACCAGAATCGAGAAGACAGCGAGCACACTGGAAGGCTGAGAGGTGGTGGTGGTGATGCTGTGTTAGACTGAGTCCTTGGTGGTGGTGGAAGGTACAGGAGACCGGAGTGGAGGAGAGGAAGAGAGTCATCTGTTAATCATCTCTGAGTCCATCAGGGCAGGCAGGCCACTAACATCTACACCTTCTTCTGTGTCTGCCTGCCTCAGCGTCAAAGGTCAGGGTTTGTTCTCTGCTGTGGCTGATGTGGTTGGTGTGGCTGATGTGGAAGGTTTGAAATACAACAGTGTGCTCGCCTGCTTGGCCTCTATAATGGCTCACTGCAAAACAGGCACTGAACACTATTTTTGCTTTTCACCTTTTTCCATGAAAGCGAAATCCTCTTCTGATTTTTTTCGTTAGCAAAAACAGGTACTAATGTAGGGCTTTCTAAAAGCGACGTTGTGTAAAGCAAACTTTCAGATGGTGGGGGAAACCTGTGTTGGACAATTGTCCATAAGTCAGAAGGGGAAAGGGTGTGATCCAAATTAAATAGCTCTATGACTTGTATTATTTCAAGGGGAATTAAGATATTGTGTAACTTTGGGCTTTGTTCAGTTACATGGGTATAATAAAATTTCAAAGATAACCAATAGAAATAGATGGTGTAAATTCTGTATCAGTAAAACAGTGCAAAAGAGAAATACACATAAGGATAGACATATAAATCAAATAGAATAGAATTGAGAGTCCAGAGATAAAATCTTACATTAAAATTGACTGGTGATAGCTACACAACTCCGTGAATATACTAAAAACTATCAAATTGTACACTTTGAATGAGAGAATTGTATGGTACGTGAATTATATCCCAATAAAGCTGTTAAGAAATAAATAAAAGAAAACAGAGAATAAAGAATATAAAAAAAGGATGTTGCAGCCAATGCCACCAGAGCTCTTCCTCAGCCTCTTTTCTCTGTTTTTCTCACACATCTGCTGCAGACGTTTTTCGACATAGAGAGGATTCGTGATTAGTCATGGCTTCCAGACTCCTTTCTGCTTACCTCCACAACTAGAGAGGAATGATCCTTCTCTTTCTAGATTCAGTTTGAAATATCCCAGCAAAAGCCTCTCATTGGCCCTGCTGAAGTGTTGTTCCCACTCTTTGAGCCAATCATAGTGGCCAAAGAAATGAAGAATTATGATTGGCCAAGTTTTGGCAGGTGAGACAAGGTGGGCAAAGGCTGTTCCCAGAAGGAAATGTAGAGAACAAAAAAGAAGATGGAAGAGTAGGAGGAGGTCTACTCTGGGTACACATTTGCCTATAGCCTCATCCTTCAATAGTTTGTTTCTAAATCACAGCCAAGAATTTTATTCAAAGTTCCCAACCAAAAACACTTGAACCTGAGTGATGATAGACTGCAGTTCATAAGTCAACCTGTGGATGTCCAGCTTTAATGAGCCTGGCCAGCTCTCTCTTACACGAACCTCTTATAACCCTTGTGTTCAAATGGGAACTATTCCTGTTGGGTATTACAAGATACAAAAAGCTTACACAATTGCATGGTTTTGTCTAACTTTATGATGACATTTATGTGATTGCTTCTCGGTGATGACCAAGGCCAGCATCCCTCTGATAAATTAATTTCTTTTTATACCATCCTTAATCATTCTCTTCAGAGGCTCATGTACTTCAGAATTTACTTGTATTAATTCATCTCAATAAAAATCTTTTTTTTCTTTAGCTTCACATTTATTGTGCTTCTTAAAGTCAATTTTATCACCAGAACTTCTGAAATTGCCAAAGTACAAGGATGAATGCCAGAATGTCAAGGGTTTTTAAATGAATTCTGACAAGACAGAAAAGGTCAAAGCAGATTTCTTCAACATGTTCAAATGTGGTCCTGATTATAAAGATTTTTACAAGGAGTATTTAGGTTATTCCTTAAAATGACGGCAGTGTTCTGCTATACTTGATGGATTAAATTTTGCCTGGAACGCTCTTCTCTCTAGGGCCCCCACCTTCTGCCTGGCTCACCTCCTCATCCTTCTGCTCTTGGTTTAGATATCATATCTTGCAAGAAGTCTTTCCAAGTCCCCCAAGATATAACTAGTTTTCCCTTCTAATATCTTCTCCATATTCAGTGTTTACCTCTGTTACAGCATTTATTGCACTGTATCGTAATTACCTGTTAATTTGTGCATCTCTGCTTCCCTTCACTAGAAAACCAGCTTCCTGGGGACAAAGACTGCATCTAGACTAAGGCATCCCAGAGACCAGCACAGTGCCTACAAAAAGTAAGTATCCACTATGCATTTGTTAAATTAAGGGACATTCTTCAAAACAATTGCCCTGTGCTCGGTCAAAGTGTCAAGGTCATGAAAAACTGAGAAATTGTCCCAGATTAGGGGAGATTAAGAAGGCATGAAACTAACCTGTATTGGATCCTGGACCAGAAAAGGAACATTAATGGGACAATTGGCAAAATCTGAATAAGGTCAGTACGTTAGTTAATAGTATTGCATAAAAAGTAATTTCCTGGTTTTGAGCATCATACTGTCGTTTTGTAAGATGTTAACATTTGGGAAACTGGGTGAAGGGCATATGAGAATTCTTTGAATGATTTTTGCAAGACTGAAATTATGTTAAAATGGAAAGTTAAAAAAAATTTAATAGGAGAAAACATGCATATGCTGACCCAGGAACGAAAAGGAAGGAGGGGAGGGAAGCAAGGAAAGAGAGTAGGAGAAAAGAAGGGATGAAAGCTAAAAAGCCAGCTGGCTTTTGGAAATATAGCCAGGGTAATAAAAGGATAAATTTGAGAGCTTTTATAACCATAGGTGCCTCAAATGCCATGTTATTACCACATTCTTCGCCGTCTAATTAGGAAATGCTGTTTATGACCACAACCTTATGTAATCCTTTCTTTGCTGTTCACTCCTGAGCTTTGTTCCATATGCTTTCAAATTATTCAGTTGGATTTAGCAAGTGCTTACTGATGGCCTGCTATGTGCCAGGCACAGAGATGAGCACTGAGGATAGACGCGGATGTGGTAAGATACATTCCTCATCCTCAGAGGAACACAACCTACAGGAGAAATCAAAGCAAAAAGAAAACGCAGAGTGGCAACACAGCGAGAAATGTACAACTGTCCCCACCAGTACCACATCAAGAGGCAACACCTTGAGGGCACTATGCTAAGTGAAATAAGTCAAATACCATATGATCTCACTTATATGTGGAATCTAAAAAAAAAAAAGAAAAGAAAAGAAAACCAAACTCATAGATGCAGAGAACAGATCGGTAGTTGCCAGAGCTTGCTGGCGGGGGACGGGTGTGGGGAGGGGGGGCGGTGGAGCCTGAAATGAGTAAAGGGGGTCAAAAGGTATAAACTTCCAATTATAAAATAAATAAGTCATGAGGATTTAAGGTGCAATATGGCAAGTACAGTTAATAATACTGTATTGTATACTTGAAAGTTACTAAGAGTAGATCTTAAAAGTTCTTATCACAGGTAAAAAAAAAATGTGTGATTATGTATGGTGATGGATGTTAACTAGACTTATTGTGGTGATCATTTGCACAGAGACAAATATTGAATCAATATGTTGTACACCTGAAAGTAATATAATGTTATATGTCAATTATATCTCAATTTTTAAAAAAATAGAAACACAGAGAAGTGCTTACTTTCCTGTGAGGACAGAAGCTTCAGAGAAGAGGTGATGTGTAAGCTGAGTTTTGAAGAATAAATAGGGATTATCAGGAGACAAAATTGAGAAGAACATTCCAGGACACCATGTATAGGATTTCAGAGGTGGGAAACAGCAAAGTGAAGCACAGCTAAAATGAAAAGCACCCACAGAAGAATGGATTCTTTTTTAGTAGCTTTATTGGGATATAATTCACATATCATAAAATTGATCCATTTAAAGGGTACACTTCAGTAGTTTTTAGTATAGTCACAAAGTTGTGAAACCATCATCAGTATCTAATTTTAGAACATTTCATCAGCCTCAAATGAAATACACCACCATTAGCAGTCATTTCCCATCCCCTATCACCAGGCCTAAGCAATTCACTAACCTACTTTCTACCTCCACAAATTTGCCTATTCTAGACATTTAATATTAAAGGAATCATAGAGTATGCGGTCTTTTGTGGTTCTTTCATTTAGCATGTTTGTAAGGTTCATCCATTTTGTAGCATGGGTCAGTACTTCGTTCCTTTTCATTGCCAAGTGATATTCCATTGTATGGATACATCACCTTTTGTTGATCCAGTCATCAGTGCATGGACATTTGGGTTGTTCCCACTTTTTGGCTATTATTAAGAATGCTGCTATAAACATTCATGTACAAGTTTTTATGTGGATATGTTTTCATTTCTCTTGAATATATACTTAGAAGTGGAATTTCTGGGTTAGATGGTAACCTTATGTTTACTTTTTGAGGAACTGTCAAACTGTCTTCCAAAGTGGCTGCACCATTTTATGTTCCCACCAGCAATATTTGAGGGTTCAAATTACCACAAACTTGGTAACTTAAAACGACAGAAATTTATTCTTTCATAGTTTTGGGCTAGAAGTCTGAAATCAAAGTATCGGCAAGGTCATGCTCTCTCTAAAGGCTCTAAGAGAAAATCTGTTCCATACCTTTCCTGGTTTCTTGTGTTGCCAGCAATCTTTAACATCCCTTAGCTTGTAGATGCATCATTTCAACCTCTTATTCTGTTATCAGGTGGAATTCTCCCCTGTATCTCTTCTTCAACCATATTGTATTAGAAGCCACCCTAATCCTGTATGACCTCGTCTTGACTACATCTGCAAAGACACTATGTCCAAATAAGACCATATTCGCAGGTGTCAGAGTTAGGACTTCAACATATCTTTTTGGGTGACACAATTCAACCTACAACAAGTGGTATCCCACTGTGGTTTTGATTCTCATTTCCCTAACAGCTAATGATGCTTAGCATCGTTTCATGTGCTTATTGGCCATTTGTATATCTTCTTTGCAGCAATGTCTATTCCAAACCTTTGCCAATTTTTAATTGTGCTATTTGTCTTTTTGTTCTTGAGTTATGAGTTCTTGTTATATTCTCGACCCTTATCAGATCTATGATTTGCAAACGTTCTTCCATTCTGTGGGCTGTCTTTTCAGTTTTTGATAGTGCCCTTCAAAACAGAAAAGGTTTTAATTTTGATGAAGTCCAATTTACTTCTTTTTTTGTTTGTTTTTTTAAAGATTGGCGCCTGGGCTAACAACTGTTGCCAATCTTCCTTTTTTTTTTTTTCTTTTAAGGATTGGCACCTGGGCTAACAACTGTTGCCAATCTTTTTTTTTTTTTTTCTGCTTTATCTCCCCAACCCTGCCCTGTACACAGTTGTATATCTTAGCTGCATGTCCTTCTAGTTGTGGGATGTGGGACGCCACCTCAACGTGGCCTGACGAGCAGTGCCATGTCCGCGCCCAGGATCCGAACCCTGGGCCACCGCAGAGGAGCCTGGGAACTTAACCACTCGGCCACGGAGCCAGCCCCTAATTTACTTCTTTTTTCTCTCGTTACTTGGGCTTTGGTG